GTGTGTGCGTGTGTGCGTGTGTGCGTGTGTGCGTGTGTGCGTGTGTGCGTGCGTGCGTGCGTGCGTGCGTGCGTGTCTGTGTGTGTCTGTGTGTGTCCCCACTGTACTGTGTCCTTCCCCTGAAACAATGGCCTACAGTTCCACTCCAGGCCTGCTAGCTCTGTACTGTACGTCCTCATACTGGCTGTGTGTGAGTGTGTACTTGTACATCTACTTTTGTGAGGACCAGTTTGAGTTTTAGACAGTCAGATTAGGACTGCAGCTAGCGATTCATTTCATTGGCTATTAATCTGTCTATTTCACAAATGGAGTCGTTGTTTGATCTGTGAAATGACAGAAAATGTCAGTCGGTGTTTGTCAAAGCCCAAGACGACGTCCTCAAATGTCTTGTTCTGTCCACAACTCAATGATATTCACTTCACTCTCACAGAGGAGAAAGAACCAGAAACATTCATATTCAAGCAGCTGGATTCAGAGAGTTTTGAAGATTTCTGAAACTTTTTTTTTTTTTTTTTAAGTAGTTGGCGATTAATTCGATTTTTGGGAACTAATCGATGAATTGATTCATCTTTACAGCTTCACTTCAAAGTAAAGACATTTTTGTAAAGTGAGGACATTTTGTTCTGTTCTCACTTCAGATTTGGTTTGTTTCAGGTTAGAATATGGCTTAGGTTAGGGTTAAGGGTTAAGGTCAGGCATTTAGTTGTGACGGTTAAGGTGCTAGGGAACACATTATTTCAATGAGTGTCCTCGCAAAGATAGAAGTACAGGGAACGTGTGTGTGTGTGTGTGTGGTACAGTTGCTGGACAATGACAGCTTGTTTGCTGGTCGGGTGGATGGAGGGACAGACGGAGTGTTGGGACGTCGTTTATCTTTGTGACATCTTTTAGCAGATGTAGTGAAACGTGAATCCCAGCCACACTCCATCTTAAGGGTGGACAGAATTGATCGAAGTTGATTGAAGTTTTTATTGATGTGTGTGTTATGGATCTCTGTAGATAAAGTTAAGTCTATGTTGGTTCAGTTACTGAGTTCTTCTTCAGTTTGTTTTCCATGTTGGAAACACTAAAGGCATCACAGAAGCGCTCCACTAGTATTCAAACACTGACTTTAGAAGACGGTTTCCACATTCGTAGGTTTCCCAGCGATCTTTGAGCTTAACTAACTTTGGGTTTTCTGGATTCAAGAAGCTGGTTGACTTTTCACTGGGATGGATCACTATGGTAACATATACTGTGCTGTGGCTCAGTTAAGAGTTGCAGACATAGACTGTTTATAAGAAGTGGATGTTGGTTTTTGCAACCAGTGAACAGGAACTGACCATATTTGGACTGTGGAGGAGTGACGTCGAGGCGTTGTATACGTCTCTGGTAGTGGTAGCCACCTGTCAATCACAGTAGCCCCGCCCTAAATCATACCCTGCTTTATGGTCTGTTTGACTCTAAATGGACCATCATTTACTAAATGAACATCATGCTGTATTGAAGAAGACTTGAAACTAGAGATTGAGACCATAAACTCATGTTTACAATGTTTACTGAGGTAATAAATCAAGAGAGAAGTAGAGTCATTTTCTCATAGACTAAGTTTAAGTCACTTCACTTTTCCAACAGGATTCTGACAAAAACACTGAGCAAACAATAGAGTGATAACTGGTGACGGGCAATAGATCAACATAATCACTTTGCTTTCTGTGATAATTGAATATCAGAGAACTCAAGATTGAACTGATCAGTGGTCACTGTGACCTCACAAAACACGTTTTGGGCCATAATACAAGAATTCATATGCTCGTTATGACTATTTCAAACAAATGTGTAATAGGATAAAATGATGAAGTGATGACGGCATCAGGAGAATGACAGCAGGGCACACTCATTGTGTTTTCATACCTGAGTCAAGAGACAATTATAAAGTACATCGTATACACAGAGAAGAAAGGTTTACAACCAACTCGGCTATTTTAACATTTTCAAAGTTATATCCCAGTTCATTTGACAACCACAAATTTAGTTTCAAGCTTTGACTCTAATTACAAACATTAATAAATCATAGAAAAGTGATTCCACTGGAAAGCATGTCTCCCTAAACTGAACTATGAAGAACAGTGAGAGCAGAGATGCAGGTAATAAAAACACATCACACAGTCCACTTCCTGTTCTGAGGATTTTTATTAACAGGCCACGTCTGCGATGCGTCTACAAATTGTGTGAACTAGGCAGTCGCACCACTTCTCACCTGAGTCGCCGGGCTTGTAAGGGGTGTGAAGTGCTCTGTCACATACATATATAGTAATAAACATGAGCTCTGCAGGGAAGAAGTTACAGTTGTATTCATGACACGCAGGCAATGTGACTGTGAAGAGAGGATGACAACAAGCAGTCATAGATCACAAGTAGTAAATGCAATCACACCTCCCCTTTGTCTCTCCAGCAACAGGACTATGGACCTGAGCCTGCGAGACGCTCTGGGCGGAGGTGGGGTCCCAGGCGGGGCCCCCGCTGAGGCCCTGCTGAAGAGAGACTTCGTGGCCTCGCTGGAGAAGGAGAGCTACGATGACAAGGTGGGGGAGACGGTCTCCAAGAGCGACTACCGGCCCTTACTGGACGGAAAGGACACCAAGAGCGGTAAGTCGCCATGAGCGAGTGCTGCTTCTCTCTCCAATGTAATGTAATGTTCTGGAGGAGGTTCAAGTTCATCTGGCTGGTAGGCATTTAGAAAAAAGGATATGTTTACATCACTGGGCTTGAATTGAGGTTTTCTCGGTTAAATTGTGAAGTATCACGATGGTAGACTGGCTGAAAACCAACATGGTGTGTTCACTACACTCATAAAGGACCATACCGGTGTTTTTTGCATGTTTAAGCCAAATAACCACTCTCTGCTCTCACCACCCACCTTTAAATTCAACCGTCTAAACACACGATACTCATGATTGAAACATTCTGGTGGAGATATGTGTTCCTCCTGCACAGTTCAGTGTTGGATCAGCTAACAGGAGAGAAGTCCTGCCTACGATGGGTTCTGATTGGACGGACTCTGCTCCGTGTAGCACGCCACGCATCTGACCAAAACATTCTAGTTAGGGGGGATGAACGCAGAAATTGGTATGGCTTGTCACAAATGTAGGTTCATCTGCTGTGTAAAGTATATTAATCTCACTGTAAAGTCACTAAACCACCATAACTAGCTCTAAAGGTTCTGATGTGTGACTGACAACCCCTTTAGCTGCTAGAGCTAGCTCCCCAATGCACAACTTGTATGGTGATGAGAATAGAAGGATGATATAATGTGTATGTGTATATGTATATGTATGTATATGTGTGTATATGTGTATGTATATGTGTGTATATGTATGTATATATGTGTGTGTATGTATATGTGTGTATATGTATGTATATATGTGTATGTATGTATATATGTGTATGTATGTATATGTATATATGTGTATATGTATATGTATGTATATATATATGTATATGTATATGTATGTATATATATGTATGTATGTGTGTGTATATATATATATATATATATATGTATATGTATATGTATGTATATATATGTATGTATGTGTGTGTATATATGTATATATATATATATATATAT